GAAAGTGGCAAATTTGTTTTTTCTCATTTTTGTGCCTGGCACAAACTAGGCACTTAATTTATCATTGTTGAGGGCTAGTCTTTATTTTTACTTGATTTGGGTCTATTTAATAGGTCCCATGTTGGAGAATGTAAGAACTTAGGTCAATTCATCCTTTTTTTTTTTTTGAGACGGAGTTTCGCTCTTGTTACCCAGGCTGGAGTGCAATGGCATGATCTCGGCTCACCGCAAACTCTGTCTCCTGGATTCAAGCAATTCTTCTGCCTCAGCCTCCTGAGTAGCTGGGATTACAGGCACGTGCCACCATGCCCAGCTAATTTTTTGTGTTTTTAGTAGAGACGGGGTTTCACCATGTTGACCAGGATGGTCTCGATCTCTTGACCTCGTGATCCACCCGCCTCGGCCTCCCAAAGTGCTGGGATTACAAGCTTGAGCCACCGCGCCCGGCCAATTCATTCTTAATTCTGAGAAAAGAGTTCAAAGGATTCTAGGTATAGCATAGTTTTCATAAAGAAGCCACATATTTTAATATCAATTTCATTTATTGCTATTGCCTCTCACCCTAGAAAATTACCAATCTATTAATGAGTTATTATGGTCCTGATAGAGTTAGCCTATTAAGACCAGGCCGGGTGTCGTGGCTGATGCCTGTAATCCCAGCACTTTGGGAGGCTGAGGTGGGTGGATCACGAGGTCAAGAGGTCGAGACCACCCTGGTCAACATGGTGAAACCCCGTCTCTACTAAAAATACAAAAATTAGCTGGGCATGGTGGTGTGTGCCTGTAGTCCCAGCTACTTGGGAGGCTGAGGCAGGAGAATTACTTGAACCCAGGAGGCGGAGGTTGCAGTGAGCCTTGACTGCTTTATGTGAGAACTTGTTACACAAGCCAAGGACGGACTGGCTATGGATGGAAGGGAGAGAATTCATGACCAGGTTTCATGAGCTTTAGGACTGCCTTGCTCTGATCTGGTGCTAAACACAAGGCCCTGGACCTCAGAGTCCCTGCAAACATCTGGTAACTAGGGAGCAACAGCTTGCAAAGGATACCCAACCGCAGAGCCAAAGGAAGAGTCTAGAATTGGAAAGACAATCCAGATAATGAATTTAGCAGAATAAAAGCCACCATTCTAATGTTCAGCTTTTCTAGTTTCCTTGTTCTTTCAATAACTATTATGAGTGTGGTAGTCCCTGTTTACTGAGTATTTACTTAGCAAGGTACTGCCCTAAATTGTGTGTGTGTGTGTGTGTGTGTATGTGTATGTGTGTGTCTGTGTGTGTGTGTGTGTGTGTGTGTGTGTCTGTGTGTGTATTTAATTCTCACAATCCTCTTTGATAGAGCTCCTTTCTACAGATAACAAAATAGAGAAATGGAGGCTTGGATAAATTAAGAAACATGTTAAAGCTTATACAACCAGAAAGTGGTAGGACTGGGTGAGAACTCTAATTTGTTGAACTCTAAAGCCTGAGTTCTCAATCATAATGCCAGACTCACACCAAATGCCAGTCACTGGAAGTCATGACTTTTTCTAACCATATCTCCAGATCACTTATCTCACTATTTACTTAATACTTTACATATACTTACTTTGTAATACAAATAGATTTTCAATATCTGTGAAATTGTAGAATATGATGGTTGTGTTTTCTGACGTTCATTAAAATAAATAAATAAATATGAAAACTAAAAAAAAGTTTATGTATTGCTTGGAAGCACGTTGCTTACCACCCCCAGTAGTAGCCACACCATGCTTTGGGAATCCCACATTATTCTATCCTGAACCATGTTTCTTCTGTCTCCTTTGTGAATAGAGGGCATTGTGGAAATCCTGCCTAGTGGCTGGTATTTTTCTGAGGCTGTTTTGAAAGGCGGTTGCCTTCTACCCCAGAGGTGGCTATACTTCAGTGATGAGAGGGATAGGGGTCTCAGTTTGTATAGTCGGCTCAGTGCTTAGGGCGGTCTGGTTGAAAAGAACTATATAGATATCACTTATCATCGTTCTCATGATGACAATGATTATTTTACATATGGCTGCTTTAAGGGTGAATGGCACAGTCTCATTTGTATGCCAGCATCTGGCAGGCTGTCACACATCTGCAGAATATAACCTAAACTGTGCTATTAATATTTCCCTTTGCATTCTCCCCAGGGCATCTGTCTCCCAAAATGCCTAAAGAAAATCCCCTCCTCCTTGAAGGCCTAGAGGCAAAATTCAGAAAACATGTCACCTAGACTGGGGAAGCAGAAGCTCCGAGTGACAGCCAGCTGAGCCTGAGCAGATTTCTGGCTCTTGGACTAGATGGAGAGAGAGAAAGGGAACCACCACCCACACTCATTCTATTAGCAGCTGCACTGCCAGGCAAAATTTGTAGGCAGGCCCAGACAGCATGTTGAGTCTGTTCCGTGATCAACAAAAGATGCCAGGCACGGTCCTGATGGTCAGTTCTCAGTGTCTTTCAAATATATCTCATACTTGCCACTACCTGGTTAAAGCTGCCTTCCCTGAAAGCCTTTGGTGACTGTTGAGTGCTCTCTGTGGTGGAGACTAGCTAGCTGTGTACCAAAACCAGGTCATTTTTCTTGGGCACACAGCCAGACTACATTTTCTAGGCTGTCTAGCAGTAAGAGGTGGCCACGTGGCTGAATGGTCTAAAAACCATGGAATGCATTCATTTTAAGGGCCTGGCTCAAAGGACTCTCCCATTTGTGATCTTCCATTACCTTCCCCTTTCACAGTCCCACTACAAACATGGTTAACACTGGGGAGCTGCAGGTGAAAGAGGCCCAAGTTTCCGAATTACTGATTGGAGGAGGCTGCCTGCTTATGGGGATTATCAATATTAGACTTTATAGAAAAATAAATCTTTTATTTGTTTGAGCCATCATGGGGTCTATTTTATATATGAACCTTCAGAGCTTTGCTATAACTCTTAAATTTCCAGGTTAGATTGTATGATCAACTGTCTACTGAACATCTCTACTTTGATGACCTACTATTATTTTGAACTTGACAGGTCCAGTAATTTTCTATATGTCAGAGTGTTTCATATACAGCAATACTTCATACAAGGCCCTTGTTCTTGTAGAATTTACATTCTAATATGAGGAAACCAAAAATATGAATAAAAAAATTCAAATAATTATAAGTACTATGACGGTAACAGGGATAGAGAGTTACTGGTAGCTACTTGAGAGTTAACGGGAGAAAGTACCTCCGAGGTCTGAATAGTGATATGTAGCCAGCCACGTGAATGCTGGGGGCAGAATATTCCAGAAAGAGAAAACAGCAAATGCAAAGAATGGAAGAATAAGGTTTACTCAGGAACAGAAAAGTGGTTAGTTGGCTGAAACTAAGTGAATTAGGGAAGACTGACATGACAGGATATTAAAGATGGAGACAGGCTCCAGATTATGTGAAATCTTATAGGCCAAGTTAAATAACTTTAAGTTCAATGGGAAGCTACCAGAGTGTTTTTATCAGGGAAGGAGTGATATCTGAATGACATGTTGAAAAGTCCACTCTGACTGTTATGGGGCGTGTACTGTATAAAAGGGCAGGAAAAAATGGAGACCAGACAAGAGATTACTGCAGTCACAGAGATGAGAGACAACAGTGGCTTATGCTAGTGCAGGTAGGAGTGGAGATAGGGACATCTGAGTTGATTTGACATATATTTTAGAGGACATATTGGCAGAGCTCATGAATAGATGGAGTTAGAGTGGGGGAGGCTGGTAAATGGAAGAGAAAACTCCATACTGATGCCTAGGTCAATTGTCCAGCTGCCTGAGTTGTTCAGTGCCATTCCTCATAAATTTCATGCCTCAGGCTTCTGGGGAATGGAGTACATGATAGGTATTCAGTAAATGACCATTTTTTACTACAACATAGAGGGTCAACACAGTGGGGTGAAAATGGTGGCCCGGCTATTTAGCAATTATTTTGACTTTTCTATTTTTTTAATTTTTAATTTTTATTTTTTGAGATGGAGTCTGGCTCTGTGACCCAGGCTGGAGCGCAGGGGAGCGACCTTGGCCCACTGCAGCCTCTGCTTCCCAAGTTCAAGCAATTCTCTTGCCTCAGCCTCCCAAGTAGTTGGGACTACAGGCGTGTGCCACCATGCCTGGCTATTTTTTTTTTTTAATTTTTATTTTTAGTAAAGGTGGGGTTCCTCCATGTTGGCCAGGCTGGTCTTGAACTGCTGACCTTAAGCAATCCACCCACCTCAGCTTCCCAAAGTGCTGGGATTACAAGTGTGAGCCACTGTGCCCGGCTGACTTTTCTGAATTTTAATTAAATAGGAGATAATAGTACTTACGTTATAGGATTGTTTCATCCAATATGTCCTTGGGGGTAGAAATTATTACTATAAAGGGGCATGATGGGCATGAGAATTATTAGTAAAGTTCTCTTTTCGTATATCGATGCTGGTTATAGGCGAGTTCAACCTGTGAAATTTTATCAAGCTGTACAATTATGTGTACTTTTCTATATGCATACTGTACTTCAATGAGGTAAAAAATGGGATCCTACACTTAAAGTGCCTAGTGCAAGTGCTTGGAACTCAATAAATGTCAGCCACTATTATTTTTACTATTATGATACAACGGAAACAGGTATGTCTGTGGTCCATGCTGTCCTTACAGATTTATGAATCCTTTAACTGAGAAAGAAACAGAGAAAGAACCTGAACTCTCAGGTCTTATCTTGTTGATAAAATCCTCTCTAATTTTAATTCATGACATATACGTGACTCTGAATGAAGGAATTGATTCAGAGTTCCAATCCAGAGTTAGTCCTGGCCTATCACATGTAATAACAATATTTCCCTAACTTTATTGTTATGATTAAAGAGTCTCATAGGTGCCAGTGTATTTTAAAAGGGGCAAGTTCTCCACAAATGCTAGGTGTTGCATTTCTGTTCCATATTTTCCCCAAGCCCACTCGTACCTGAATACCCTTAATTCAGGCCAGTTGATTCTTGGCCACAAAGAAAGGATACTAAAACTTTGATTGGTTATTTCAAAGTTCCATAGGTTAATCCTCAGGTCATCAGCAGACATGTAGGTTTCATAGTCGCTGTTGACAGATATGGAGTTGATGTGATATGTGTGTGCGTTGGCAAATACTCTTCGTGGGGTGGCCTCCACCATCAGGTCCATGGGTCTCAAGACAGGCACCTGGAATGCAAGAGAAACAAATCACTTCGGAACCAAAGGTCTTCCATAGGAAAAGAGTGTGCATGCTTATGTCATTGATTATCGCACAACAAATCATAGCCACACTGAAGAAACACCAAGTCAGAGAAAGAAGAGGCTAATAAGGAATCACACGTTGTTCCTGTTCCCTTCCATTCCTCCTCTTTCAAAAGATATCACCATCACTTAGCCCTGATGGGAAATTTCATTCTTTGTAAATTCTAAACATTTTCCCAAGCTCCTCCAGGTGGCCTCGTCTCAGGGGAACTTGGCTTCCATTGTGGAATCATTACCTTTCAGAGACGTTGTTCCAGATTTTTTTTTTAAAACATGGAATCTATTTAAAAAATGAAGTTGTGGGAAAATTTTTAAAATGTCTAATTCAACTTCAATCTAAATTTATCTTTTATGTCTTTTCATCTCATGGCTTTGGAAGCCTACACCCCTTCCTGGCTTTGTTCTCAATCCTTAAGGGCATTTTGGGAAACTTTATCATCACCCAAGACTCTAACAGTCCAAATTCAGTCACTAATATAGAGGGAACCCAGTGACATCCTGATTGACCTGAGAAAATCTTGGTTTATACTTGTCTTAGAGTGAGAACCAGGTAGTCTCCACATTTACATGCAAAACTATCCCAGTTTGGATATTAATGATATGGTCACCTTACTGATATATAAAAACTTCTCAGTAAGTATTTGTTGAAAGAATGAGAACAAATGAGTAAATGATTTCTTTCTGGTGGATAAGGGAATCGGCAGTTAAATAGTTTCCCACACATGACTGTCTCTCTGGCAAACATGAACAAAGAACCATCACGCTTCCTCCTTCATCTATGAGTTCTGGGTGAACTGGCTCCAAAGAAAGAGAGTAAGAACACAGATGTCTGAAAGGAAGCAAACTAAAAAAGCACCAAAGACAAACAAAACCCCACACCACAGGCATGGTCTCTTAATAAAAACAAGATAATAAAATAACCAAAGCTATTTTCTTTTCAAGCTCATCATCTCTTGCAACTGAGCCCCGACTGATTTGATACCAGGTGGTAGATGAAGACTTCGACTTCTGGATTGGCTTCAACCCAGGTGGCGAGGAGAAGAAAGTACAAACAAAAGTTAAATTTTCTGAAGTGCAGCCACCTCACCAATATAATCTTTTAGAAAAAAGAATTCTCCCAGCCCAGACTTGAGGGACTTGAACTCACCTTTGAGGGAGTTTTTAAACCAAATGAATGATTCAGAGGAAACACGGAATTCTAGACAGATGTGGTACTTGATAACCCAGAAACTAGAGGTGACTTGGGAGTGGCTCTAGATGAGTCAGCCATTGTCTGAATGGTAGGAAAGGAAAGGGAGGGAAAGTCTTTGTGGTCCCCCATCCCAATCATAAATAATGGCCCTATAGCGTTAAGTGTGCGTGGCAGGAATTGGGAGACCAGTTTGCCACTAACCAACAGGCTGTGAGGTCTGGGCAACTAACCTGCTCCTCCTGAGCTCAATCACGCTGTCTGCAAAACAGTGACCATGCTCCCTATGCCCTCACTATCACAAAGTGTGGTTTGGGGTTTTGCTGAGATGATCTGACCTCCAACGCAACCTCCTACCCAGTCTTACAACAACATTTACTGAGTGTCACACGAAGTCCTAGGGGGAACAACTGGTGAGCAGAACCAGACACAGGTCCTGCCATCTACAGCTAATCTTGTCAGAGGAGACAGACGTGATTAAAAGAACTAGGTCCCCCAAAGAGAGGATATACTGCCAAGAGGGTTTTAACCTGCTCAGGGAGAACTGGAGAGGCTTTCCTGAGAAGGTATGAGTGTGTTGAGATGTGAACGATGGGTAGGGATTTAACCAGGCTAGGAGGGGAGAATGTGTTTGAGGGATGTGCAAAGGTCCTGTGGTGGGGTGAACAAGTCAAGAGTGAAGGACCGATAGGTCACTGTGGTTGAGACAGAGGTAGTGATGGCAGCTATTGTGGGAGATGAGGTCACAGGGTAGGTAGGAGGCAACACTCCTCCAAAAAAGTTTTGCCATTATTCCAAGCGAATAGGGAAAAAAAATGAAAGGATTTGTAATGACTGTGATACAATCAAATCTCGGTTTTGATTAGATCATTCCAGATGTACAGTGGAAAACAAGTTAGAGGACTAATGAGGTAGAATTCTAAAAGGGAAGATCATATATTCTTGGATACCAATTAAGGGCATGCCTGAGTTAAGGTATCGTAACGGATAAAAAGTAACCTTGCCCTCAGAAACTCTACATTGAAATATTTATGGTGCATTTTCTCTGTGTCAAGCATTCTTCATACATAATCTCAGGTAATTCTTTCAAGAGCCCTGTGAGGATAGTCACACTGGTACTCATACAAAGGTACAATACGTACTCATACAAAGAGAAAACTCAGGCACAGAGAGGCTAAGTCACTGGCCCACGGTTGCCCAGACAAAGGAAGCATAGCTAGGTTTAATTTGGGGACTGCTAAGTGAGTGTTCCTCCCACTGTACCACACCCTATTGAAATATCATACAGAGTAGGAAGTGACAAATGCTCTGAAAGTGACATAAATTGCCAGGAGAATTGATGGAATAACTAGCATTACTGGTAGTTATAATGGTAGCGGGACTCATAGCACTGCTGTCATTAAGAAACTTCAGTTAGGTGGTGTTGGTATTCATGGTATTTGAACACAGAATTTGTTCTTTGAGAAACGTGTGCCATGCTTTTATAGTTTGTCACAAAGGAGTTCCCCACCTGAAGCTTTTGGTTGCTACCTGCTTCCTCTGCCCTCCAGAGGTACCAGAGCTCAGAGCAGGATCCCAAGGGCCACAAAAGAAATGGAATCTGCCGGACTTCCTGAGGGTTCTCCTGAACTCTTTCCTGGGCCTCCTTGGTTACGGTGCATTGTCTGCAGATGGTTCCTGTGGCTGTGGTGACGTGAAAGGGAGCATGCAGCCAGGAACAAGAGGCATTACAGAGTGGGAGCTGCCAGCCCAGAGCTTCAGCTTAATGTGACGGGCCTGCCTGCTAATTCAGGCTGACATATTCCATGATGTACCACTTAATGGGTAAGGGCTCCATGTAGGTATCTGGGGATGGAGCCTCTAACACTTTGCAGATAAGACAGGGGGATGGAGAGCTGAATGCCTCTCATGTTATTCCAGCCTCAGTCCCAGGCCTATGTAAAGGCTTGTCCGCTGCCCAGCGACTGCCCTTCCAAGGAGGAAAAGGGAAGTTTGGTGGTTCAAGCAGGATAGGATGGACGATTAGGAAACCACATTGAGATTGTTTTTTCATCTGCTCTGGCCACGTACTCCTTTTGAGGCCAGGCAGGGAGGAGATTCGGACACTATTCCCTGAGTCAGGCCCACAGGCAATCATTAAAGCTGTCTCTGGAAACATACATGGAGAGCTTCTTGTGCCCGCTGCTGTGTTTAGAACCCCCCGCTCCCTGCTCCACCCAAATCCAAGGAGTTATCTCTCCCAATGCCCTCAGTAACCAACCTTCCAAGGATTATTCCTTCTGTTTGCCCCATTTTACAGGGGAGGTTGGGGGAGGCAGAGGAGTCCTCAATGTGAATGAAACTATTAGACTGAAATACAAAACTGCCATTTCTGTAAGTCAAAAATTGCCAAATATCAGCAATCTCATGTGATTTAGCCTAAGACTTTAAAAAGCCTCTGTGCCGTATGGATGTGACATCAAATCAGGGAACGTGTTGGCTTGGAAGAACCCATAGAGCCTCTTCCTAAGACATCATCTGTGTGTGGGGGGAGAGTCTTATAGTGGGAGGCCATAGTGTCTAGGCCTCTCCTCCTTCATTATTCTTGGTATTATACGCTGGCATCCTCAATAATATCACGCTGGAAGAAATATTTCTGTGGATAAGCAAAGTGTGAAAGCGAGTAGCCTGGGCAGTTCTTGAAATCTACAGATGAGGACATCGAGGTCTCAGAGGTTAAGTACCTTGTCCATGGTTACCTTTCTAGGGTTGCCCGCACAGCCCAGGCCTCTGCCTCCTGTCCCAGACTTCTGCTTCAGCACACCACCTGCCTGAGCCATCCTCCATGGGACCAGAACCCCCTTTTGCCAAATGACAGAAGCAGAACTAGACAAAATTCAAATCAGGCCAGGACGTCTTAACTCAGTTCAAACCTTCTTGTCTGAGCCATCTTGGCAGAGTCGTTGATGGGGCTAGGATCAATGCAGAGACAAGGGAGGTGCTGTGGGGAAAGTGGCCGGTCCTTGGCGCTTTGAGCGGCCAGTGCTTGGCCCACCTGCAGGTGGTTCTATGCTGAGCAGCTGGAATTCAGTGACGTCCCCCGACTCAGGGGCTTCATCCTCCTCTCTGATCCCAGTTGAGTTTCAGCTCATTCTCCTAGGCTGCTTTCAAAGGACAAGCATCCCAGCCCTGGACACCCAGTATTACATTAGAATATTAACTGAATAATGTCCCAGGTCCCCAAAGAGCAGCCTGAGTCTAATCTTCAATGAAGCTTACAGAGATCTATTTCAGTTGTAATATTCCTGGGAAGCTCTCCCCACCAGAGAGCGGCATGGCTTCCTCCCTCACTTCAATCAGTCCCTGCTCGAAGGTCACTCCTCAGGAAGGCCTTCCATGGCCATCCCCCCCTCAAATCACACAGCCTCCAGTCTATCCTCTTACCCAACTGACTGATTAGAGTGTTTTAAACCCTCAAGCAGTTCATCAGTGAATTTTCTTCGCTGTTTCGTAATTAACTTGGTAGATGTTACAATCCCTATTGCACAGACGAGGAAGCTGAGGCACGGAAAGGTGAACTTGTCTGAAGGCACACGGTGAGTCTGAGGCAGGGCGACTACTCAGGCCTGGCACTTCTGCCACTCTTTGACTCAAGAGTCTATGCCCTTAGTCACTTAAAGCACACTCAGATGCTTGGGAGGGAGACAAGTTAACAGACCTTTCAGCAAGGTTAATCATACCGCCATGGAGGTCAGTA